AATATCTTTTCCAACCAGGACAACTTTAAGACCCGTGGACTTCAACTCCCAGAATTTCCCATGCTAGACAGGGAATTCTGGGAGTTGAAGTCCACGGGTCTTAAAGTTGTCCTGGTTGGAAAAGATATTCCCTACTTACAAGAACTTCTAATACTAAAATATTGTTAGACCAACACTCCAAATATCAGCAATATGGAATAACCCCTGGAATATGGTGAGTATCCGAAGAAGGAATGGTAAAATTAATTAATCCCAACAGAGCTGGAAGGGACCTTGGAGGTCTTCTAGTCCAACCCCCTGCTCAAGCAGGAGACCCCACACCATTTCAGACCTCTAAGTAACAACTTAAACTCATTAGCTTATTAACATTATTAACTTATTAACTAAGCCAGGGGTAGTCAACCTTTTTATACCTACCGCCCACTTTTGTATCTCTGTTAGTAGTACAATTTTCTGACCGGCCACCGGTTCCACAGTAATGGTGATTTATAAAGTAGGGAAGTAACTTTACTTTATAAAATTTATAAAGCAGAGTTGCAGCAAACCTCTACCGCCCACCAGGAAAGCTGGAACGCCCACTAGTGGGCGGTAGGGACCCGGTTGACTACCACTGTTTTAGATGTTCTTCCAACTATTCTAACTATGTTAATTCACTTTGTTTCCTCACTGTTGCTTACCTCTTATATCCTCACTATTTCTTCCTATTCAAACTCTGTGCAAATATCCCAAATATTCACATTCAGACCAAACAGCTATCTTTCAATAAAACAATGTTAACAGCGTGATTTTTTTAATGTCCTCGTTGGAGAGATTCCCTTATTTTTTTTACAGCCAAGTCAACACGATCTCTTACCTTGATTTTCCCCCATCTTCTCACTCTCCCGAAGTTGATCATCTCTGCCCGTTATTATGGTTTTGGGCTCTGGCTTGGCAGATATGTTATTGTGAATATTGGAGGACAAAGCCAGATGTTTGGAGAATGTCTCTGAATCCTGCTGGCCATGATGCTCCTCTAGCCCAGATACATCTACATCCTGGAAATCAGAAGGGGCAGCTGCAACTGATAGTTCGTTGGTTTTATTTATACGCCCAGGATCCTGTTTGATCAATTTGTGGCTGCCTGTTAAAACAGCTCTCCTATAAGACATTGGGGAGGAGTGAACTTTTCCAGTAGCGGGGGGTGCTGGTATTAGACTCCTTAAATTGTTGGCAGCAGCCACCGGCTTTGAATGCTGCTTCATTTGGCATAAATGATTGACTGGTCTGTTCATAGGAGCTTTTATACCATCTTGGAAAACCAACTGCTGGGAATAAACGGGAGATACGGGTTTTCTCAATTGGGCACCGGATACTTTTCTCTGTGCTTTGCCTTTATCTTCCTTCTCCGTTTGACACGGATTCATTAGCTGTTTGCTCCTTGGAATGGCCGCCTGAGCCTCCTGATCTTCTCCCCCCTCGGAGACTCCCTGCAAGCTACGAATTTGTGCTTTGTCAGTACTTGACCCAATTTCCAATCCGCTCGTGTTAGGAATGTTACCCCAGATAGTTTCTTCCCTGGTTTTGCAGCTGCCATTCCCCCATTGCCTGTCCACGGGGACAGCGTTGGCTTTCTTCTCCGAAGAACACAATGGCCTAGGGACACCGTGGCATGTTTTGGTTGCAAACCGCTGACCGTTGGCGCCAGCTTCTTCGCTGTCTGTCCTGTAGCTGTCGGACGTGTCAGTGGTGCTGCCTAAAGCGGAGTCCACATCTTCAGTAACTTCGCCGATGTGCGTCTCCCTGAGGCATTCTGCAAAAACACGCTGCCGAGAAGGAAGGATCCACAATGGAGTCCTTTTGGGGGCTAGAGGCTTTGTCCGCGAGTCCTCCTGGGAAGGAGCGAGCTCTTGGCTTCCATTAGTGTGAACAGTATCACTGCCTCCAGGAAGGGCGTTGGCAATTCCATGTTTGCCATTCCCAGTTTGGTTGACCTGAGTGTCTGCTGAATTGTTGATATAAGACCCACAGGCACTACACTTGCTTTCTTTGTTGACTTGAGGAGAGGTCCCTCTTCCAGAGCATCCTCCGTTCTGGTGAGTATGCCTTTTGGTTCCCTGTCCTATGCTTTGATGTTCCCAGCTAGGTTTGTTGACGCTGCTCTCTTTACGCTGGAGTTCACCATTTATATATCCAGCAAGATCTGGTTTGGAGAGCAGTGGGCCCTGGCCAAGAGATAACAGAACTGAATCTAAGGGCCGCTTCTGGCGCTGCTGCAGGCGTTCCAAATAGCGAACTTCGGCGTCCCTTGCAGATTCATCCTCAAAACGCACCCGAGAAGAAGGTGGTCCTTGCTTCCTCTGCTGCCCACAGCTGGAGTCACCACTGGATGAATCACTCTGGTTTCCACTAGTGGGATTATTTCCATCCTTCAAACCAAAGTCTTTTGTTGCATCTGCAACAGAGGATCTACAGGTACCCCTAATGAACCAAAGAAAAGATTTTTTTTTTATTACTTGGTGAAACTATCCATTTTGCTACTCTTTTCATCTCTCTACAATCCTTTACTAGGAGGGACTCTTTGTCTTAATGGCAGAGGTGGGTTCCTACCAGTTCGCACCAGTTCGGTAGAACCGGTTCGTCAAATCTACCGAAC